AGAAGGGTTTCAGATACAGCTCAACAATACTGAATTGGATATTAGAAATCGTGAGACTCTCCATGTCCCTAAGGCTTGCAAACTTAATATGTGCCTTTGAACAGACACACAAAAAAGTTAATTTATTTGAGAAACAAGTTTGTGGCCATAATCAACACTATTGTGCCACCTTCTTTACCATTATTTGTTTAAATTCTGCATTTCTATCTTTAGAACAGGATGGTGAGTCTGAAGTGTTCACTCTCTACATATCACCTGCAAGAGCACCCTGATCATTAAGTATTCAACTTGTTTTTAACCATTACCATGAGCAGCTCCTGCTTCTTTAATGGCTATGTGGATTGAGAACGTCAATCACTATCTCCTGGCACCTAAGATTTTTCCCATGACGCTCCAGGCTCCTTCTGTAAATCGGCATTTCCTGGCTTTTCCCTCCTACCCTCATCCTAGGGAATTTGGCACCTACGTTTTCTTGGGAAGTGAACTGCAGAAATAGCACTGGAGCTGTAGAAACACAGATCCAGTTCTATTTCTGCCTCATCTGCTCATTAGCCATGGAATATTGGGACATACCTCATAAGTTTATAAATTCCTTCAACTCCCTGAAGGAATTCATCCTTTTATGATGTAATTGAAAATTAGCTTGGATAAAGATACTCTCTATTTATTTATACATATCATTATATAGCTATATATATTTCTCTCTCTCTCTCTCTCTCTCTCTCTCTCTCTCTCTCTCTCTCTCTCTCTCTCTCTCTCTCTCTCTCTCTCTCTCTCTCTCTCTCTCTCTCTCTCTCTCTCTCTCTCTCTCTCTGTGTGTGTGTGTGTGTGTGTGTGTGTAAGTATAAGTACATGTACATACCTTTCCCAGGCCGAGTACTCTCTTTTACATTCTACTGGGACATGTTATTACCCTTCTATATCTTGATTTGGGTTCTGTGCAGTAGCCACCCTAATTTATAATGTATGATGCTCTAAGGAAACTTTGTTCCTTTACTATCCTCATCATAATTTGAAACTAATTTTAAATGTAAGAAAAAGAAAAGTTCATAGGACGGTATATAGGGTGTTATACTTAGACCTCAAACCTGGTGCATAAAATTCGTGCATGGGGATGGGGGTCCCTCAGCCTGGCCTGCACCCTCTTGCAATCTGGGACCACTGACTCCTAACTGCTCACCTGCCTGCCTGCCTGGTTACCCATAACCTCTTGCCTACCTGCCAGATCACCCCTAACTGCCTCTGCCTCAGCCCTTGCCATAGTGGCTTCGTCCAGCATGACATCTGGAAGGTTGTATGGCTGTCTGGTCTAATTAGTATATTGTGCTTTTATTATTATAGATGTTTCAGCACAAAGACAAACTCTGGACGCCAAAAGGCTACCTGTCCCCAATAAGAGTGGCTGTCCCTAAACATGGCTCTCTCTGCTGGACAGATCTTGGAAATTCATACGTTTGTATTTTCTGACCCATTCCCAATAAAGAGCCTTAAAACAGTCCCAGCCTCCACGTAAAAAGTTCTGTAACACAAGATTGGGACTGGAGTAGTCTTGACAGCAGAGTCTGGGAACTTGACAAGTGAGCTTCAGTAGAATCATTTTCTGTTCCTCTGAAGGGCACACATCCGTTGCACAGGACACTGACACAGCCCATACTTTTCAGTGATTATGAGAGCAAATATTTATTAAAAATAGTGCAGGGCTCTTAAAAATGTGCTTTACACTGAGTAATGTTAGCTTTACACAACAATGTTTAGAATTAGGTGCAGTTTAAAATCCAATTTTTATTTTATGAGAAGAAAAAAGAAATGTATCCATCATTACACACCTTGTAAGAGAAGAGAGGATTTAAACTCTGAGCATAAAATTTTCACTCTGAGTACAAATATTACTTTTGTTTGCCCCCCTCCCAACATCTCCCAAAATACTCTCTGGACAACCTGCTGTATGTCAGGCAACAAACAGACATACACTCGAACACTCCTCAGTTGTGGTGGTGATTGTGGATTGTCCTAAGGTCATGGTTGGTACCTCTTCAAGTTAGTGATAAAGGAAGATATGGAGAAATGGGAGGGCAGAGATATTATACCAGTACTTCTCGGATTTTAAGAGTGATTGCATGCCTTTTGCTGATAATACATAAAATGGGTAACTGAGTAAATAAGCTTCTCTTCTAAGCCAAGAATCAACAGACATTCTACAGAAGGGAGACAGCAAGGAAGAGAAGGTCTGAATGGAGCAGTGAGCTCAGGTGCAGGTGATGAGTCCCAGGACAAGGGTCACTACACAGAAATGAGTCAGAAAAGGAGAATGTTCAGGAGCTTGGTGGGGACAGAGTCATGGGAGCTGGGCAGTTCCAAGGATTGAAATAGGGATAAACAACCTGAGAAAAGTGACATTTAGAGAACTTGTAGATGAGTGACCCATGGTTTGTGACATTAAAAAATGAGACGGTGCTTGCTTCATAGTCTAGGAAAACCCCAACTCGACAGGGAGGAACAAACATGGAAAGAGTCAAGACCTTGGGGTCAGAGGTAGAAGAGTCCTCAAAGGCATTGTACTCAGATTCATTCTGTAACCCTACAACCCAGTAGCCATTTTCAGGTCTGAATCTGGAGTAAGCATTTAGGTAATTTACATCTGGGTTAAAAACAATTCCAGAGCTTTTTTTTCTATTGAGATTACTTGTTTTGCTGTACACTCCCAGGATCCAGGCAATCTTCTTGGATACATCAACTTCCCAGTAATATTTTCCTGAGGAGAAATTTTGGCTGCCCAATACATCAAGAGCAGAAAAATCACATGGATATACATTCCAAAACATAAAATAGTTCCCAACTGTCACTTGTTTCCTATCTTCAGAAATGATAATATCCGA